TTGGTATAGGACGTTTCCCGTAAGATTCGTGTTGGAAATATCTAATCCAGTTACTCTTTGGTGGCGAAGACCACAAGTAACTCCAATCCAGACACAAACAGAAGTAGAATCCGACCAGTTACTAGATAAAATGTGTGAAGGGTGTAAATTGATGTGGGATTTTAAGTTGAGAAGAGAAAATCTATCAGTCGTGATATTGGTTGTTTCCATGGCTAAGGAAGCCATTATACACTGCAACAACAAAATTGCTTGAAGAAAGTAATTAGCCATCTGCACGACAGTTTTTCTTGCTGCAGCTAACAATGCTGGAATGGAGTTATATACTGCACACTGAAAAGAGCATATTTATAAATTTCTTTATTTAGGAAACTGACTTCTTTTATTTGATCTTTTCTGTGCTTAATATTTTCTCCAATACAGTTATGTTAAAAGTCATTCCACTGAACGAACAATTTTGTCTTACCTAGAAAAGAGGAGGAAAGTCAGAACGCAATGAAGTGTTGATATCCACACAGCAATGATTTGCTAAGTTGAAGAGTCAGGCGTACCTCATTTGACTGGTAGAAGTGGATAAGTAATCCATTCACTTATTTTCCAATAATACAATTCCAACACATCTTTATATTTATCCATTCCTACATTTTTTTATAAACTCTCCAGTAACTGTCTTTAACATTCTTGGATGGGAGGGAGTAGGCCCTCCTTCCTATTTATTAATTCCATAAAATTCAGATAATGTTTCCATACTCAAATACGTATCTTTGTAACTTCATGATGCTCGACTAAATTTCTAGTCATTGAGATGAAGATGAACCATTTGTTGTGATGTTTTAATTCCAATTTCGAGACATTAACATTTGATGTTTGTTTAGCTTGAATGATTGTTATAATTTTAGTATTTTCAGTTCCTTAGCTAATAATTAAATTGTTTTGTGGTTTTTATTCACTGTTGAAAGGAATAGAAAATGTAACGAGTAATAATAATTATTGTAAAGTCCGATTGAGAACAAAGATATAACATTATACTTTGTTGCATGATTATTTTGAATATTCTTTTGTTTTAATGCATCTTTACATATATTTGTATCATTCATAGAAATATAATATAATCATATTTGAAAATATATTTAATTTCGATAATAACCATATTCCCCAATCTCACCCCAATTACCTAGCGGAACAGGGTAATGATGGACATGGGGGACTGGATATTTTACCATTGTTAAAGCAAAGCTAGATTCATTGTTGCATTCCAGGCCGTGAAACGTTAGCCACAAACAGGGGCGGAGCCCGAAAGATACGTCAGGGTGGACTAAAATTTAATTTTTTTTCAATGAACTCATACCATAAAAAATACTCTATACCACTCGAAATTTATTTTAAAATGTTAAATTCATAACACTCATAATAATGTGGGCCAAAATATATTTTGGGACACTCATA